TCGAAGTGACAAGGTTGGACGCTTGGGAGCAAATGATCCATTTCCGCTGTCGGAGGCGTAGTACGGCCAATGATGAGGTGGTGGTCTCGGCTATCTATGGTAGCCATAATGCAGCTAAAAGACAGGAGCTTTGGGACAAAATTACTGCCTTGGCTCCCTCCACTCTTGAACCGTGGCTGCTTGTTGGTGACTTTAACTCGATTCTGGGGCCTAACGACCGGAGGGGTGGGGTGGCTTTTCAGGAAGCGAGGACTCGGCCTTTTCGATCGTGCCTCAATGCGAGTGGATTACATGAGATGGGATTTTCAGGCCCTCATTTCACCTGGAAGCGAGGTAACCTCTCTCAGAGATTAGACTGGGCTTTATGCAATAAACAATGGCTGCAGAAATTCCCGGATTCGGTGAACTGTCATTTGGAGAGGGTTGGATCGGACCATAGGCCCCCTGTTGGTGCGTTCTTCCCCCGGATCGCAAGAGAGGATGGTGAGGCCGTTCAGGTTCCAAGCAGCGTGGCTAGCCCATGATGACTTTGCGCGGGTGTTGGAGGAGTCGTGGAGTTCGTCGACTGTTATCCCGGTCTCCCTTGCTCGCCTTACGGAAGCTCTGAAGTTGTGGAATAAACGAGTCTTCGGCAATATCTTCCGCAGGAAAAGAACCCTCATTTCGAAGCTTCGTAAACTGGAGGTTAAGAATGAGGGAAACAGCTCGGCCCGGTCTCGTGCGCTGGAGGAATCCATTCGGCGTGATCTGGAGAAGACTCTCTGGGAGGAGCAACTGCTTTGGTTGCAAAAATCCCGGACATGCTGGATTATTGAAGGTGATCGCAATACCAGATTCTTCCATCTATCTACTCTTAAGAGAAGGCGGTTTAACAAGATCGTGGCACTGAAGAACGAGGAGGGTGTCTGGGTTACGGATGAACGCACTCTGCGAAGCCTGGCAAGGGATTTCTATGTGGAGCTCTACCAAGCTGAAGCAGGCGCTGCCCCATCCCTCCCGGCCCTCTTTGAGAAGCTCGATGCTACGGCGAGTAGGGACTTGGATCGGGGGCTTACTAGCATGGAAGTGTGGCAGGCTGTTATGGATATGGGTAGCCTTAAAGCACCAGGCAAGGATGGGTATCAACCAGTGTTCTTTCAGAGATGTTGGAGTACTATTGGAGAGGCTTTCTCTCAATTTGTCGAGGGGTGCTTCCTCGATCCGGTGCAGATTCGTTGCATCAATGAGACACTCCTAGTTTTGATCCCGAAGCGTGAAAGCCCGGAGTCCATCAAGCAGTTCAGACCTATCGGACTGTGTAATGTTGTCTACAAGGCGCTTGCTAAATGTCTAGTGAACCGGATCAAGCCTTACATGCGACGTCTGGTCCACCCAACACAGACTAGCTTTGTTCCGGGAAGGCACATTACGGACAACATTATTATTGTCCAGGAGGTGGTCCATTCCATGAGTCTCCGCAAAGGGAAAAAGGGCCAGATGATCTTGAAGATAGATCTTGCCAAGGCGTACGACAGGCTGAGCTGACAATTCTTGCGGGAGACACTGTTGGCAGCGGGCTTCCCCCCTCGCCTAATGGAAACCATCATGGCTTGCGTATCCTCCTCCACTATGCAAGTGATGTGGAATGGTGGGGAAACAGAGAGTTTTACTCCTTCCCGGGGTTTACGGCAGGGGTGCCCACTTTCTCCATACCTGTTCACGTTGTGCATGGAGCGACTTAGCCATACCATTCAGGAAGCAGTGACGCGCGAAGCTTGGAAGCCGATAAGAACCTCCCCAGGTGGCCCTCTCCTATCCCATTTGTTTTTCGCTGACGACCTCATTTTGTTTGCAGAGGCGAGTGAAGAGCAGGGAGCGGTTATCATGGACTGTCTTGACCGCTTCTGTCAAGCCTCGGGGGAATTAGTCAGCAAAGACAAGTCTGTTATCTTCTTCTCAGGCAATACTAAACGGAACATCTGCGCGTCTATTGCGCGTAGCTTGGAGATGACCATGACTCAAGATCTGGGGCGTTATCTGGGCGTCCCGGTTTTGCATGGGCGCGTTACTCGTGAGACGTACAGGTATATTTTGGACCGCTTGGAGAAGAAGCTGACAGGCTGGAAGGCCAATTCCCTCTCTCTTGCGGGGCGGGTTACTCTTGCAGTCTCGGTTCTCTCAGCGCTTCCGACTTACGCCATGCAGACCTCGTTTCTTCCTATCTCAATTTGTGATGAGATCGATAGGAAGATTCGCAGCTTCGTCTGGGGTTCAACGGCCGATGCCAGGAAGATTCATTTGGTCCATTGGGAGGGTGTATGTCGGCCAAAAGAGGAGGGAGGCTTGGGGCTTCGGATGGCTCAAGAGCTTAATCTTGCTTTTCTGGCTAAACTTGCTTGGTGTTTTATCAAAAATCCGGATGAGTTGTGGGTGCAGGTGTTGCAGGCGAAATATTTCCGCACGGTGAACGGAACTGTGGTAGCCAAGTCCATGGCGCGCGCCTCGTCTCTTTGGCGTGGAATGCGTCGGGCCTGGCCGATCATGGCCTCTGGTATGGGGATGGTGATAAAAGATGGGCGCAGCACTAGCTTCTGGGTGGACAAATGGGTGGGCGACGGGGAGCCTTTGCTCGACCGAGCCTTGCCATCCGCCCCGGTGATGGACCCAGAACAGCCTGTAGCAGTGTTTGTTAACAACCAAGGTGAGTGGGATGTTGATTTTCTTTCAGAATACTTACCCCCGGATGCTATCTCGCAGATTATTGGTGTTCAACCTCCGATTGCGGGCTCTGGAGAGGACGTGGCTATCTGGTTCCCGGAGGAGGATGGCAGATTTAGAGTCCGCTCTGCTTACCGGATTGCGACCAATGAGGAGGATCTTCACTGGAGCTTTGACTGGCGATGCATCTGGCGTTGGGAGGGCCCTGCGCGCATCCGACACTTCCTCTGGCTGGCTGCACGTGAAAGACTCCTCACCAATGGAGAACGAGGACGACGCCACCTATCCACGAACACCAGTTGTCCCCATTGCTGCGTGGCTCATGAGTCGGTCCTGCATGTGTTGCGGGACTGCAGTTTTTCCAGGTTAATATGGATGCAATTAATCCCGCCTTCTGAATGCCAACATTTCTTCGGATCTAATTTACAGGATTGGCTGCTCGGCAACTTGAAAAGCCAGAATAACACCCTTGAGTTTGGGATTACCTGCTGGTCTCTTTGGAGGACCAGGAATGATCGAGTATTTGCAGGCAAGATCACCACACCTGAGACCTTCCTCCACCGGATCCGGGCTTGGTTACCTGTAGTGAGGAATGCCTTGGATAAGGACAGGCTCATTCATAAGCCGTGTCCGCCCGCCAGAATGGAGGAGTTGATCTCTTGGAAGCCGCCTCCTCCCGAGTGGGTTTGCCTCAACTCTGGCGGCTCTGTTCTCTCTGAGTCAGTTCTTGCCGCTGCGGGAGGCCTGATTCGTGATCATCTAGGGCGCTGTCTTTCAGCGTTCACTTTGAACCTGGGTGCTTGTACGATTACCCAGGCTGAGTTGAGGGGTGCTGTGGAAGGTCTCAATCTTGCTTGGGACAAGGGATACAGACGAGTTCGTGTCCAGCTTGATTCTCAGTGTGCGGTTCAGCTGATTAGACATGTGAATACAGGGAACCATCATTGTGCTGCTATCCTTGATCGGTTCCGAGAGCTGCTTTCTCGACACTGGGAAGTCATCATTGAGCATGTTTATAGAGAGGGTAATAGATGTGCTGATTTTCTGGCTAGTAGGGGTCATATTGTTCCTTTTGGCTTTCATGAGGTTGCGAGCACCGATCCGATGCTCCATTATTGGATTATGTATGACTGTCAGGGGATTTCCGAACCCCGGTTGGTTTTGAATGAAGGTTAGGGTGCTTTTGCATCCATTATAAAAAAAAAAATAATGTAATTGCTAGTCATTAGAAAATCCTACTTTTCACGATGGAAACATGATGTGAAGTAGGATAATGTTGATATTGTCTTCGTGAATAAATGAAGCCAATAATAATAATTTTAAGTACGCTATCAATAAACTTTAATATTGAAGATTGTTGATAAATTTTGATAAAGACCGATAATATGCTTTTTGAATACTTTAATAAACCCAACGTGCAAATGTGAAGATGCTAGTAATGGTTTTCTTTGACATTGGTAATTACCTTCAGATCAATAATAATACATTTGCATAGCATACACAAAGTTCTTCCAACCGATTTGATAATGGTATGATCAATCATTGACAATCCTCTTCTAAAAGTTAACAACGGTATATTAAATATTTGATAATTAGTTTTAATATGTTAATAATGATAGTGCATAACAATGATAATTCCTTAATACACGTTGGAAGCAAAAACAAAATCGATACTATACTTTCTCAATACATTAATAAACTTGAGCTGCAAATGTGAAAACACTAATAATAATTATCAATATTATTGATAATCATCTTCAAATTTATAATAATAACAATTTTGCATATTGAGTTGATATTAATACTATTGATCGATAATTGTTAATGAACACTAAAATTGACTCAAAATCATAAATAAGTATGCTTATATTGTTGCGAATAAGTAGATAATCGTTAATATTCATAATAATTCCTCTACTTATGACTGCTTCCTCTTGAGCAAGTTCATAGGCGTAACAGTCTTACGTGACGTATTCTTATTCGTGCCATGCCATCAACCTACACAAAGACAAGATCCCAACAAATATGTTATTATTACATAAGCTGTTCAAATATAAAGAAATGTATCATCAACAATAACAATTACCATTAATACTATTATTAATGGTTTTAGGTCACTTGTTAACAATCTAATGTAATGTATCAATGTTTATGCGATGCATCATTAACGACATACAAAATCATTATTAATATTTCCTAAATAATTTTAGGTTAGTTACGAAACCATTATTAACTATACCTCGTCAAATTTTTTTTTTTGGGTAGAAACATGGGACGCTAAAAGGGCGCCCCTGCCTGAAACTTTAGATTAAACGAGATTGGGCATTGCCCATAGAGTCATACAAAAGCCAGAAGTTGAGACCAGGATCATCTCTCTCAATAACATGATAACCAAGACTAAGAGAGTGCCCTTTGTTAGCAAGGTAATCTGCTGACTTGTTTCCTTCGCGGAAGGTGTGAGAGATCTCAATCTCACATTCTTGATGGATAAGATCCTGCAGTTGAGTCCAAAGATTATGGTACCGACCTCCGTAAGTCGTGTGAGAATTCATAATGCTGATCGCAGTCGTGGAATCTGTCCGCAGCTGAACTTTCCGGTGGCCTAGCAGCCATGCAAGTTTGAGCCCTTGTATCGCCCCCATCAGCTCAGCTCTCGTAATGGTACAGGCTCCCAGGTTGGATGCAAATGATCCCAGGCATCTACCGAAGCTATCCCGAAGAAGACCCCCTGCTGCTGCCAAGGATTCTGGTGGCTTGACTGAGCCATCCGTGTTTAGCGCGATCCAGTCTAAAGGGGGAGGGTTCCAAGCAATCTCAGTCGCCGTCCTTGTACGTTGTTGCATATGGATTTTGTCATTGTTTTCTTGAGCATTGCGGACAGTACTGGTCCAACTCCTAATTCTCTGGACGAGGGTAAAGGAGTCTTGTTGTTTGCGGTCAAAAACCCATTCATTCCTTCTTTTCCAGAGGTACCACGCGCCGACTCCAAAGAGCAGCCCAGTTTGAGTGTTCTTTAGGTGCTCCGCCATCCAATCTGCAAGGTTAAGGCCGATAGTTAAACTATTGTCGGATATCCCGAGTTCATGCCATACCTGGGTAGTATAGGTGCAGTGCCGGAGGATGTGTTTTGTCGATTCCGGGGCTGCTTTACAGAGATCACAGGTATCCTGTTGGCACATTTTCCTTCTCTTCCTCTCGCAATTCGTCATCAAACGGTCATGAAAGGCAAGCCACAGGAAATGCCGTATGCGATGAGGACCATTCCATCTCCAGATTTGTTTCCAATTGGGGCTAGCTTGGTTTTGATAAGCTTCGTTATCATCCTTCCGAAACCACTCTGCAGCGATGGTGTAGGCTGATTTTATTCGAAACTTCCCGTCAGCATCCATTCCCCACGTCGTCAGGTCTTCTCCAGCGTCCCATCTTGGCGGGTCGGTACCTTCAATGAGCAGAACGATAGAGTTAGGGATTAAGTTTTGGAATTTAGGCCAATTCCACTCACCTGAGATGTCCACCATATCGGCAACTGAGGCGCTCCAGTCCGTAATGGGGCATTGATCATTCACTTAATCCCTCAGGACCACGCCATCCGCCACCCAAGCATCTAGCCAAAACTTCACACTTTCTCCATCTCGGATGTCCCAAGTGGTTCCCTGCTTCACAAGAGGAAAGGCTTCCAGCATCCCTTTCCACAATCTCGAGACTCGCTGGTTCCTCATTGAGACAGTGCCATCATTATTAGTCCTGATATACTTGCCCTGCAAAATTCTAATCCAGAAAGCACTGCTATCATTAATAAAATTCCAGCAAAGCTTCATTATATAGGCCAGATTTAGGGCACGGGCAGAACGAAGGCCTAAACCCCCCTCCTCTTTCGATTTACAGATAGTCTCCCACGTCACTAGGTGGGTTTTAGTGCGTCCTTCCTCTGCACCCCAAACAAAGCTCCGGATCTTTTTATCAATCACATCACATATATGGCAGAGCAGGACCGCTGTTTGCATCACATAGTTCGGAAGCGCATTCAGGACTGACAAGGCTAGAGTAACCCGCCCTGCGGTCGAGAGACTCCGTCAATTTTGAATGCTAGCAATTAAATGATCAACGATTTATAAGCAATTAGTAACAATATAATGTTATATTATCATCTTTATATAGGTGATTGTGCTATTACTTTATGACATCATTGGTAACATTTATGATACTCTTATTAACGAGATCTCGTCATTATTTAACAAAACCCAAAAACGTGAATACATGTTTATATAAACAAGATAACAACTTTTCTTAGCTATATATCACAAACTCCCACTGGAGTATCCATCTTCATGAAAGGACGAATAAAGTTGGGAATAGAGAAAAACCTGGTAGTCGACTCCTGTCAAGCTTTGCGACCCGTATCCATGGATGGCAGTTGGGAATAGGGTGGAGGCTGGAAGACAGAGACAGCCGGGCCGCTTGGAGCTCTCGCCGATCCAAACCATTAGGCGTTGTGTGAAGACTTTGAGCGGGCTGTCGGAGAGCTGGGGGGTTAAGATTTGGTGGAAACGAGAACTTGGTGGACACAGAAGCTGGGAGTCGATGGCAGAGACAAGCTGGCGGAGCAGAAGGGACGGCCGGCGGCTGCAGCGGACAGGATCGCCGGAGAACGTCCTTTGACGAGAAGAGAAAAGGTTCGGCTGCGGGTGAGGAAAAAAAAATGCTGAGGGTTTATAGACAGTTAGGGTTACGTTTTTAATTATTTACAATTCCTTAAATACCCTTAACAACTAATTAACTAATAACTTCATACTAACTACCTAAAATTGAATCAGCCAATCACAACGCTTTAAGATCTTCCTTAAAAAATGGGATTAAGATCTACCTAAAAATTGTAAGGTGATAGAGAACGAAGAGTGCGAAGGCAAATCTCACAAAAGTATCAAGCCACCACTATGGAGTGATTTAAGTAGGGATGGCAATGGGGCGGGTTGGAGCGGGTTTTGTCAAACCCAAACCCATGGGTTTATCCGCCAAAAAACCCGGGGTTAAACCCGTTGGGTTTGAAAAACTCAAACTCAACCTAACCCGCTGAGTATCCGCGTGTTCATGGGTACCCGTGGGTTTTTATGGTAAAAAATTTACAATAACAAGTTTCTTTCAAAATAAAAGTTTAATATCAATTTTCTCATACAAATTAATCATACAAAAAACACTAATCTAGAGCATACAAGCAAATCGCAAATGATCAATACAAATTGTTCAAAATTAAAGATAAACATCTATAAACAATAAGATTAATTGAAAGCTTCTTCCTCGTCAACTAAGTTTCTTCACTCTCCACTTCATAATATCAACTTCATTCTAAACAATTAGAAAGAACAAATTATACATCTCTCCACAAACATAAAGAATATTAGTTGTTTAAGGAAGATATATTATTTAGAATATTAAATATACCGGGAAAGTAATTATATGTGTGTGGGCGGGTACCCATGGGGCAGGTTTACCTAAATCCAAACTCGGCCCGGTGAATAGTGTAGCGGGTTTAAACCCAAACCCGACCCAAAACCCGTCAACACTGATTTTACTCGCGTTGACCGGATTGGGTCCGGTGGATATCATAGATTCGGGTTTTGTTGTCATCTCTGGATTTAAGTGATCTTAAATAAGCATTCAAGTAAATGCAAAAAAGATGAAGAAGAATGAAGAGTGGGAAGTCCACCCACAACTATAAAGTGACAAGTCTAATATTAAAGAAGCTTTAGGTGGACTGTTTTTTGGTTGAACATGTCGAATGGTAGCCAAAATAAAAAATAGTTTTGACTCAAACACTTATTTTACACTAAGGTCGTTTGAACAAACACCAATATATCAATAATCATCGGTTATCCTGTGGTAGGCACATGCTAGTTTCCCCCCCCCCCCCCCCCCCCCCTACTCCTCCCATTGTTACTATTATGGTAAATCTCATAAACTTTCTCCTCCGTTATGAGTTTGTTATGAACAATTATCCGGCTCAAGTAAGGGCGCATAACCCATGGTTATGTACCCATCAATAACTAAATCTGGATTATTCATTTAAAAAATTCAGATTTAAGGATGGAGAATTAAAAGCCATTTTTATTTTCACTAGCTTTCTTAATTGGCTCATATCTTTTTCGTTTTAACTCGGATTTTAATTTTTTTTTGCACAGATGGAACGAGTTCGTCATGCTCTACACAATGGGATCAATTTTCAATATTTTTTGAGAAAAAAATTCTGCCCTCTCGGTACCAACTGCATACCATATGGTATCTTCTTCGTTTTTAATTCGTTTTTGAAAACGTTTGCACAGCAGGGACGAGTTCATCATGATCTATTGGATCTACAAATTTCTGGGTGAACAAATTACAAGAAAAAAAAAATACCACACAATACCATACAATACCACCCTGGTACGGGGTGGTATCTTATGGTATCTTATGGTATACAATGTTAAAAGTCGTAAATGACAATTAATATACTTCTACTATCATGTATTCAACAATCCTACAGTTTTGGTTTGTGTCATACCACCATGGTACGCTTTTCAAACCATAGGTATGCTCTTATTTCAATACCAGTCAATACCATATGGTATAGACTGGTAAAAAATGGCTCAATTTTTTTTGTTCGAAAAATATATCAAAGTGGATATCATTTTGAAGAGCACAATTAATCTGATCTAACTGTGCAAAAAAAAATTAAATTTCGACTTAAAACTAGTGAGAAATCGTCCGTCAAAAATTAATGAGGGGAAAATTAAAGACTTTTCAGGAGAGAGAGGATGCTGATGTCATGCTGATGTGGGCGGGTTACTCATAGTTACTCACCATAAGGTTACTAACCTGATCCGTTCCCTAATTATCCACCCACGATTCTTCAAAATGTTATGATTCCCCTAAAAGGGGTCTAGATCAGGTCAGTAACCAATAGGTGAGTAACTCTATGCATAACCCAATAAGAATTTGCCACATCAGCGCTTCTTTCTCTCTCATCGAAAATCCTTTAATTTTCCTTCCCTGAATCTTTAACGGACGATATCTCACTCGTTTTAACTCGGAATTTAATTTTTTTTGCACAGTTAGATCAGATTAATTGTGCTCTTCAAAATGATATCCACTTTGATATTTTTTGGAACAAAAAAAATTTGTCCGTTATTACCAGTCTATACCATATGGTATTGACTGGTATTAAATAACATCATACCATATGGTATGAAAAATACCACCCATACCAGGGTTGTATAGTATGGTATGGAGTTGGTAACGAGAGGTATGAAATTTTTTCAACCAGAAAATTTTGAAATCCAATAGATCATTGATCAAATCGTTCCTTCTATGCAAAAATTTCCTGTTATTACCAGTCTATACCATATGGTATTGAATGGTATTAAATAACAGCATACCATATGGTATGAAAAATACCACCCCATACCAGGGTGGTATAGTATGGTATGGAGTTGGTAACGAGAGGTATGAAATTTTTTCACCCATAAAATTTGGAAATCCAATAGATCATGATTAAATCGTTCCTTCTATGCAAAAATTTCCGAAAACGACTAAACAACGAAGGAGATACCATATAGTATGGAGTTGGTAACGAGAGGTATGAAAATTATTTTTCTCAAAAAATATTGAAAATGGATATCATTTTGTAGAGCACAACGAACTCGTTCCATCTGTGGAAAAAAAATTGAAATCCGAGTTAGAATGAAGAAGATATGATCCAATCAAGAAAACTAGGGAAAATAAATTCCTTTAATTCTCCACCCTTAGATCTGCAGCCACTTAAAAGAAGGGTCCACTCTAAGGTTACTCATAGTTACTCACCCTAAGGTTA